GGGTTGTGCAATGGTGTTACTTAAAGACAAGGGGCAGACATCACAGAGAACACATTTTTCTCTATAAGCGGGGTGGAATATTTAAATTAACCCCAGTATAATCTCCATGGTAATGAAAATATTCTATGGGAAATTTAGAAAAGCACCACCTTAAATGGTGTCTGTTTTACTTTATTCCCTGTAGAAGCAGCCCTTCCTCGTTCTCTGTATTAGTCGTGGATCTCTGTGATAAGTTTTACATTTTCTGAGGAATGTCGACACATTTGCCTGATTTTTAGATTGAGCTGATAGAGTCAAAATATTTGGGGGCAAAATATCAACTAATTATAATACTATAGGGAATTATTTTTAAAGATTTAAAATCACTGTTCTTATCTACTTTGTCACCTTATGAAATGATCAGAAACTTTAATAAAGTGATTTATTCTACCACCTAAGATGATTTGTTTTTCTTCTAAGGGATTTTTTTTTTTTTTTTTTAACTAACCACGTACCCACCCACTGAATTAAAACACAGGGATGATTGTATGGGCAGGAGGGTTGGCTCTCTTCATAAGAGTGCAGGGAGAACATCTAAGAGAAAGTCTTGGAGGTAAATGTATATGAGATAATGGATTGTTTTGAATTGTTGTCGTCTTTGTGTTTTTTTTGGTCCTAGTTATAAATCTGGAAATATATACGAAGGTCAGTGGGAAAACAATATGCGCCACGGGGAAGGCACCATGAGGTGGCTGACAACTAACGAAGAATACAGCGGTCAGTGGGAGCGGGGCGTCCAGGTACCGCGCCAGCTGGTCTCAGCAAATACGCCCAGAGGTGGACTTGAGCCACAGGACATATGTTTCTTGGTGTGGTATCATATGGCAGTCTGAAATTCAAGCTCTGCTAAGTTTAGAAACTCAACTTATGATTTACTGGTCTAAGCCAGACTTTTGTAGCGCCGTTTTGTTATTCAGTTTTCTTGAAAGGTCTTCCACACAAGCTAGGTTCTGCCATTGGCTAATCCACAGTGCACAGGATAACCTATAAGGACTGAGACCGTTGTTTATACGTTAGAAGCTATGTATTTTATATGGTTAATTTTATACAGTTTATATAGCTAGGATTTTCTGATGATCTTATGTATATTAATCTGGTAACCAGGGACTTTGCTAACCTCACATAATAGTTCTAGTCATTTTTTTGTAGGTTCCTTTATTTTTTTTAATCTAGATATCATATTGTCTATAGTCAACGTTGTATCTTTCTTTCTGATCTGTGTGCCATTTTTTCCCCCTTGCCAACTGCACTGGCTAAGACCTCCAATGTGATACTGAGTAGGGGTAGAGAGAGTGGACATCCTTGTGTTGTTCCTGACCTTGGTGGGAAAGAATTAAATCTTCTGTCAAGTGTGATGTTCACTCTAGGTTTTCCATAGGTGCCCTTTATCAGGTTGAGGGAGCTGTCTTTAATTTTTAACTTGCTTACGGTTTTTATCACGAATGGATGTAAATTTTTACAGTGCTTTTCTTGCCTCTAGTCAGATGATCACATGGATTTTCTTCTCTAGCCTGCTGATACATTGAGCTACATTGATTGATTTTCAAATGTTGCACCAACCTTACATTCCTGGGATAAACCCAGCTTGGTCATGATGGTACTATCCTTTTTAGGGGAAATGGATCCCATTTCCTAATGCTTTGCTGAGAATTCTCGTGTCTATGTTCATGAAGAATATTGATCTAGAGTATTCTTATAATATCCTTGTAAGCTTTTAGTAGTCAGGGTGATGCTGGCCTTGTAACATGAGCTGGAAAGAATTCTCTTCAACTTTCTGAAAGAGTTCGTAAAATTGGTGTTATTTTCTTCTTAGCTGTTTAGTTGAATATGCCAGTGAAGCCTCTGGGCCTGGAGTTGTTTTTGTGGGAAGATTAACTATAAACTAACTGTATATTAGCTATAAAATGTATTTCTTTAGTAAATAATGGGCTATTCAGGTTATTCATTTCTTCTTGAGTAAGTTTTGGAAGTTTGTGTTATTGAAGGAATTTGTCCATTTCATAGAAATTGTTAAATTTATTGGCATAAAGTTCATAATATTCATTTATGATTTTTACATACATAGGATCCATAGGGATGTCCCCTCTTCTGACATTAGTAACTTGTGCTTTCTCTCTTTTTTCTTCAGTAGTCTTGCTAGAGGTGAATCAATGTCATTAAAATTCTCAAAGAGCCGATTTTAGTTTTATTTTCTCTGAGGTATTTCAGTTTTCACTTTGATATCTGTTCTTTCTTATTGCTTTCCTTTTGCACACTTTGGGCTTTCTCTTCTTTTCCTAGAGTTGTAAGATGGGAGCTTTACTGATTTGAGACATTTGTTTTCTAATGTAAGCATTTAATACCACAGTTTTTTCCTCTAAGCACTGCTTCATCTGTAGCAAACTAATTCTGATACATTATGTTTTAATTTTTGTTCAGTTCAAAATATTTTCTAACTTCCCCATGACTTGCTCTTTGGCCTTATACGTTACTTTGAAATATACTGTTTAACTTCCAAAGAGTTGGTGATTTTTCCAGATATCTTTGTTTGATTTTATGGTTTATTAACTCTACTGTGGTCCACGAATATACTCTGTATGATTGCATTTCTTTTAAATATGTTGAGGTTTATTTTATGGCCCAGAATGTAGTCTGTTTTAGTGAATGTTGGATATACTTCTGCTTTTGTCGAGTGGAATGTTCTCTAGATGGGAATGAGATTAATTTGGTTGTTCAGGTCTTCTATGTCATTACTCATTTTCTGTCTACCTTTCCTACCCAAGTCTGAGAGGAGAGTGTCCAAGTTTAACTGTAGATTTGTCTGTTTCTCCTTTTGGATCCATCAGTTTTTCCTCCATATATTTCGAAGCTCTGTTGTCATGTGTATACACATTGAGGATTTAGCAGAGATTACCTCTGGAAAGTGGGATTCAGGAGGGGGCTTTTTTTTTTTTAATCAATCTGCATGTTAAAAATAAAAAAAAATTAAAATACTAACTAAAGCAATCAGTATCAAGCCAGGCATGTTCTATGCACTATCTTCAATCTTTACACCCAACCTGCAGGGTAGGTATTATTTCCGTTTTACAGACGAAAGACAGAGCTTCAATCATTTGCCTTAGGTCAGAAGGCTGGTTAGGAAGTAGCTGAGCTGGGACTGAACCCAGTTCTGTGTGACCCCAAAGTCCATGTTCTTTGCTCCTTCCAATGAGTCATTGTATGTAACCCATACCTGTCGATACACTCAAGTGAAAAGAGGAACTATCTTGACCATTTCTCACGGACATTTCCTTTCTTTTCAGAATGGTTTAGGAACACACACGTGGTTTCTAAAGAGAATTCCCAACACCCAGTATCCTTTGAGGAACGAATACAGAGGGAGCTTTGTAAATGGATGTCGTCATGGCTACGGGAAGTTTTACTATGCCAGTGGAGCCATATATGAAGGGGAGTGGGTTTCCAATAAAAAACATGGCATGGTGAGTGCAGACCTGTGAAGATTACATTTTAAAGACTAAGTAAAGCACCTGAAATACAGTAAAAGGCATGTCATTCTCTACTTAGTAAAATGCATCATCCATTTTGCATAGGATAACTTGCTGCTTTGTTAAGATAATTACATGAATTTAAAAATAATTAACATATCATCAGTTTCATGTATATTTAGAGGCTATTTAATTAGTTTGTTACGTGTGTATGTGTCTGTGTTGGGGTGGTTTCGGTTGTAGAAAATCTAGCTTAATCTTCTATAAATTATAAAAAATAACACGGGCTTCTGTGTTGGTTTGATTCAGGAACTCAGGGTGTCAGGGTTTCCCCTCCATCTACCCATGATGCCTCCCACCATGCCAGCCTCACCCTTATGCTGCCTTTCCTTCATGATTGCAACATGGCTGCTGTGGTTCCTGACTTCACATCCACATCCCACACAAAGTAGAAGGGGAGCTGAAACTCTTTTTCAAGAAGCTTTCCACAAACGTCTTTGAGTTTCACTGAGCTGAATGGGGTCATTTTCCCATCTGTGAATCAGACTATTGGCCTGGGTCCCACAAATATCAAGAGAGTCCCTATTCTGTGGTGGGCTCTCAGCTGGCCATTAGCATAGTTTAATACACATTCTGTGACCTAGGGGTGCTTATAGCTGGGGAGAGGTTGTGAGGCAGATGCAGCGAGAAGGGGCGGGGAGGAGAGAAGGAGCATGAGGAGGAGAAGGATTTCCTCGGTTACACAAGAGTCTAGGAACCTGATTATGTGTGGACTAAGTGCATATCTTAAAAACAGCCCAGCTGGTGTGGCGCAGAGGTTGAGCATCGAACGACCTATGATCCAGGAGATCAAGGTCCGATTACCGATTGGGGCACATGCCTGGGTTTCGGGCTCAGTTCCCAGCAGGGGGCATGCAGGAGGCACCTGATCAATGGATCTCATCATCGCTGTTTCTCTCTCTCTCTCTCCCTTCCTCTCTTTGAAATCAATAAAAAAATATTTAAAAAACAAACAAACAAACAAACAAACAAAAAACTCCAAACTCTTGAGAAAGATTTTGATGTACATTTACCGATGGTTTTCTAAGAACATTTTTCCTGAACTTCAAAAGTTACCTTTTCTATCTGCAGGGCCGATTAACTTTCAAGAATGGGCGTGTGTATACAGGCCCTTTTTCCAATGATCATGTAGCGGAGTTTCCAAATCTCAACCATGAATTGATAAATAACCCAGACCTGTCCTCAGAATCTGTCCTTGAGAACCAGTTTGGAGGATCTTCCAGTGCCGGTAGGAAGCATCCGCCTGTCAGTTGAAAGTTAATTAATCTGTATTATCCATGGGATCCACTTGTCACAATACACCTGACACTTCAGAAAACAGAAGTTCCCCATGAGCAACTGCTTTCTTAGTAGTTTACTTATTTATTTATTGTGTTTATTGGGGTGACATTGGTTAATAAAATTATACAGGTTTCAGGTGTACAATATAATAGGTTGTTTGAAATACTCTTGTATCACACTTCTTTGGAAAATTATTTTGGCATCACACTGAAAAACGTTAACATTGCTTTTCACAATTATCCCCTATATTTGCCTCCATTTGCTAGAGATTATCAGAAGGCTCGATGGCAGTGAGAGTCATTCAGTGTTAGGCTCAAGCATTGAGCTGGACCTGGTTCTGTTGCTAAGCAGGTACCCTGAGAAAGAGCAACCAGAGGAGAGGAAGCAGGTAAAAAACCCCACCTTTTGTACTGTTATAAATGTGTATTTTAGGCTTAAAATGTTTTTAAAAAATAATTTACTTTTCAGTGACAGTTGATGTAGAATATACAGACTTTGTATTTCACCAGTTCTCCTAATGCCCTCTTCCAGGGTCCCACCCGGGGTCCCACACTGTTCTTGTCCTCATGTCCCTCTAGCTTCCTCCAGTCTATCATGGCTCCTCTGTGTCTCATGACCTTGAGACTTTGAAAGAGCAGTGGTCAGTTATTCTGATGAATGTTCCTCATTTGGGTGTATCTGATGTTTTCTTATGAGTATATGTCTTTATTACCTGTTATCAGAATCGTTTTGTCAAAACTTGGGTGTCTCTTCCAGAGCCGGGTTCTGGATCATTCTCGCTTCAGGTGGAGCAAGCTGAGGACTTCTAGCTACTTCCTTTCCCATCCAGATGGCTGCCTTCTAGCTACATCCTTTCCCATCCAGATGGCTGCCTTCTAGCTACATCCTTTCCCATCCAGAAGGCTGCCTTCTAGCTACATCCTTTCCCATCAAAGAGGCTGCCTTCTAGCTACATCCTTTCCCATCAAAGAGGCTGCCTTCTAGCTACATCCTTTCCCATCAAAGAGGCTGCCTTCTAGCTACATCCTTTCCCATCAAAGAGGCTGCCTTCTAGCTACATCCTTTCCCATCAAAGAGGCTGCCTTCTAGCTACATCCTTTCCCATCAAAGAGGCTGCCTTCTAGCTACATCCTTTCCCATCAAAGAGGCTGCCTTCTAGCTACATCCTTTCCCATCAAAGAGGCTGCCTTCTAGCTACATCCTTTCCCATCAAAGAGGCTGCCTTCTAGCTACATCCTTTCCCATCAAAGAGGCTGCCTTCTAGCTACATCCTTTCCCATCAAAGAGGCTGCCTTCTAGCTACATCCTTTCCCATCAAAGAGGCTGCCTTCTAGCTACATCCTTTCCCATCAAAGAGGCTGCCTTCTAGCTACATCCTTTCCCATCAAAGAGGCTGCCTTCTAGCTACATCCTTTCCCATCAAAGAGGCTGCCTTCTAGCTACATCCTTTCCCATCAAAGAGGCTGCCTTCTAGCTACATCCTTTCCCATCCAAGTGGCTGCCTTTGCTGTCAGTTTAGTGTCATTGGTTAATCAGGGCCTCCCAGGGTCTGACATCAACCCCTCCTTCCAACCTGCCTCTGTCAATTCCCCTGCTCACTATGCACACTTGTGAGAATACCTGTGGCTTTGTAGTTTTGGGGTCAAGTTGAAGATCTCTTTGCCTAGCCCTGAAGATTTTCTCCTATTTTTTTTCTTTATAGTTTTATAGTTTAGTTTGCTTTATAGTTTTCTTTATAGTTTTACATTTAGGTCTGTGATCCATTTTATTATTTTTTTATATCTTTATTGATTTCAGAGAGAGAAGGAGAGAGAGATAGAAACATCAATGATGAAAGAATCACTGATTGGCTGCCTCCTTCACCCCCCGACTGGGAATCAAACCTCCATCTCCTGGATCATAGGTCGATGCTCAACCTCTGAGCCATGCCAGCTGGGCTAGACAAGAGAACTTTATTGCTGCCAAGAGAACTTTATTACTGTCATCAAGTAGCAGTAAGAAAGTGATCCACTGTCCAGATAACAGCGCGTTTCTTCCTGTTGTTCAGAAGTTGCATTTTATTGACCTGGGTGTGGGTGGGGAGAATATACCACTTACTGAGCTCTCATAGGGACAGGAGGTAAATACTATGACTTCACATGTGTTACCTCCTTCAGTTTAGGAAACAGGTGTTTCTTCTGAGTTTGTTCTCATCGGGTAAGATTAAGATATGCATAGCTCTCTGTTTCCAGGTGGAATATGCTGTCCTAAGAAATATTACAGAGTTAAGACGAATCTACAGCTTTTACAGCAGCCTGGGGTGTGAACACTCCCCAGATAACACCTTCCTGATGACGAAGCTTCAGTTCTGGAGGTTTCTAAAGGACTGCAGATTCCACCACCATAAGATAACCCTTGCTGACATGGACAGGGTGTTAAGTGGTAAGTGCTCCGGGTCCCTCACACCTTCTGGTTCAGAGAGTAGTATGATGTCACATCACCGCAAAAGCAGTTAGGAAATGTGGAGGGATGAAGGCAAGGCTGGGAGGGGTGCTGCCGAAATCAACACACAGGCTTCCTTCTCAAGGTACTTGAAGAGGCAATCCTGTGATGTAACAGCAACACCACGACCATCTGCAGCAGGGAGGGGTCAGCGAAGCAGGGCCCCCTACCTGTGTTTGTAAATAAAGTTTTACCGGAACACCGCCATGCCCGTTTGTTTACATACTGTTTGTGGGTGCTTCTGCCCTAAAACACCAGAACTAAGTGGCTGAGGCAGAGGCTGGCCCCCAAAGCTGAAGTATTTACTATCCGGCCCTTTGCGGAGATGTTTGCCCACCTCTGATCTGTAGTGAAAACATGGTAAATTGTTGGGTCAGCAGCAGAGAGGGTCAGGGAGGGCTTGGAATAGCTTGGAAAAGGCTTTAGGTGGTCTTGGGCTTGGTCTCAATTTCAAATAAGAAAGTTCATGCAGTAAACTTAACAACTTTGCAGGTTTTACTCCTTTCAGCTGAATTCTAGGAGGCAGGATGGAAAGCCTCATGTTATCTACCTGAAAAATAAAATATTAGCATGACTCCCTACTTGCTTCAAATTTACGTGTTTGAAATAGACCTGCAACCCATTTAGGATTATCAGCGTTCATCAGGCTGCGGCTCAGAAGACTTTGAAAAACATTGGGACACAGGGTCTTGCATGTTCCTTGTAAAGGGACCAGATGAAGATCTTTCGGGTGGGACTTAATTTTCAGGTGGATATGGATACACAGTTCAGAGTATTCTCTAGGGGGAAAGTACTCAGTTCTTGGAACTGTGTACCAGGTGCAAGTAAAAGAGAAGGTTCCGGAAAATACTGGGCACCCTCTCTGATTTTCTTCTTGTAGCCTATAATGACATACCATTTGAAGACATTCACTCTCCATTCACAAAGATACTTTTGAGAATATTTCTGAATTACCTCCTGCAGTTGGCTTACCACATTCATCATGAGGAATTCCAGTAAGTACTACTCCTGGGCCCAGGAGAGGGCCAGGGCAGAGCTGGCCATGCTGGGGTTACCTTTGTTCTTTCTTTCTTTTTAAAAAATTGATTTCAGAGGGCGGGGGAGAGAGACAGAGAAAGAAACATCCATCACTGACCAGGGATTGAACCCACAATCTGGGTATGTGCCCTGACCAGGAATTGAACCCGCCACCTTTGGGTGCACAGCATATCGCTCTGACCACCTGAGCCCCCCGGCCAGGGCTGTCCTCTTTTCTTTGGCATTCTCATCACTGTTTTTACATACTCTACAACTGAAGGACTGGAAACAAAAATAGTAACCACAACACCATCAGATACCAGCTTAAAAGTGTGGAACCCCTTCAGATGTGATCATCGTGTTTCATTACTGCTAACAGCTCTCGGGTTTTATTCAGAAATAGTCCCAACCAACTTCACCTTAGACCAGAACTTCCTGTCTCTCTCCCAGAGCAAAAGTGATATATATTCCCTTCTCCAAACAACATCTCACAGAACCAAGGTGCAGGTATCGAACTTGAACCAACGAGGCTGCAGTACCTTTAAGTAAATTACAGGCTCTATTAGGATTTCCCGAGTGCTCCTACCCATATCTCTTCTCTGTTCTGGGATCTAATCCAGGATCCCACATTGCGTAAAGTTGTCATATCTTAGTCCCTTATGACCCATGGTAGCTTCTCAGACTTTTCTTCTACGACCTTGACACTTGAAGCATATTGGTCAGTTATTCTGTAAAGTGCCCCTTGGTTTTGGTCAGCTGATGCTTTCTCGTTACACTGAGCCGATGGGTTTTGGGAAAGAGTACCGAGGAGGCAAGTGGCCCTTCCCCTCCCCTCCTCTCAGGGTGTGATGTCGCGCCATCTCATCGCTGGTGGTGGTAATTAACCTTGACCACCTGGTTACAGTGGCGTCAGCCAGGACTGTCCCCCATACAGTTCCTATTCTCCCCTTTCTATACTCTTTAAAGCCAGTTATGGAGCCCACCCCCCACTCTAGGGGTGGGGTTAGGGCCCACCTCCCGGAGGGAGGAGTGACAGTATCTTTTTAATCACAGAAACAGAAGCCCCTCTCTCTTCCTGTGTTTCACAAAACTGATGACTGAGAACATCCATCCCAACGCCTGCCGCGTCAACGGTAAACACAGAACCAACAGGACTCTGTTTAGCACCATTTTTTTCAAAATGTAATTTTGTAAGCACCGTTTGAATGTTTACCTGTGACATTTTCAGGCAGTTTGTTCAGCAGGCACCTGCGGGCACTCTACTCTATGAATTACATCGACATGTGCTGGGAGGTGTACATGGCCTACTGCAAACCGAGTGCGGTGCCGCCCCACGAGCCCACCATGAAGATGAGGCACTTCCTCTGGATGCTCAAAGTAAGCAAATGCTTTCAGTTAAAGGAAAATTGTGCTACCCAGATACACAAATGATGAGGTGAAGACCGGGAGGAAGTTTCAGAGCCACTGGCATGTCCTGGGCCTCCTCTGGCAAGAGAGTGATTCCACCAGCTGCGGTGGAAGGTGGGTGAGTGGGTGGGAGCAGGAGCGCCCTCCACTGTGCTTCCCACGTCGGGGACAGTCATCGGGGCTCCAATAGCTTTACTAACACAGGCCTTGCCATTAAACGAAGGGGGTATGTGTGTGTGTGTAAATGCCATTTAAAAATTGTCACTCATCAAAAAAATATTCCTTTTTGCTTTTTGTTAATCCACACTTGAGGATATTTTTTCCATTGATTTTTTCAGAGAGAGTAGAAGGGAGAGAGAGAGAGAAAGAGAAACATCAATGTGAGAGAGAGACGTCCCTTGGCTGCCTCCCACACACGCCCCATCCCGGGCTGGGGATCGAGTCTGCAACCCGTGTACAAGGTACATGCCCTTGACCAGAAATCGAACCCGAAGCCCTTTAGTCTGCAGGCCGACTCTAACCACTAAGCCAAACTCGCTAGGGCCATCAAAAAAATAATTTTAAAAAGTTACCAGTTTGGAAAATAGTGAGAACATCTAATTTATACAATATTCTCATACTAACTATCGGTAGTTTTTGTTTCATGATACTTTTTTTTTTGATCCTTACCTGAGGATATTTTTTCCATCGATTTTTTCAGAGAGAGTGGAAGGGGGAGGAGAGAGAGAGAGAGAGAGAGAGAAACATCGATGTGAGAGAGAGACATCGATTGGTTGCCTCTCGTACGCACCCTGACTGGGACCGGGATTAAGCCTGCAACCCAGGTACATGCCCTTGGCCGGAATCAAACCTGGGACCCTTCAGTCTGAGGGCCAACATTCTAACCACTGAGCCAAACTGGCCAGGGCTGTTTCATGATACTTTTGATTTATACTTATGGGAAGATAAATGCTAAAACTAAAAGAATTGAATACTAATAAGAGGTAGAGTACTTACAGAAGCTTAAGTGCTGTATATATAGGGTGTCCCCCCAAAAATGTACACACACGTTGAACAATTATAAAGGCAGTGTTTATTAAGATACATTTCATTTTCAAAATTGAGCTGTCAGCTGTTGAAGTGTGTATACATTTTGAGGGGACACCCTGTATATGAAAAACTGACAACCTAGCGTCTACAGGAAAATCGTTTTTTTAAAAAGTATGTGATTTTTTTGGGATGGAATCTCACACAGCTATCGATCTGTTCACTTTGCCCCTTTCTTCATGGTCCTTTGTTACTGAAGAAGGGTGGTCATTGTCCCTGCAGACTGGTCAGATGTTGGTTTGGCCAGCTGCGTCCTCAGAGTTGACTAACATGTTTCTCCTTTCCCCCTGTTTCTGTTACAGTGGGAATCAGAGTTAGAGGCTTGTTCAGACTCAGGGTTTTTCCTCCGACAAAGCCACAGTGGTTCTGTGTACTTCCTGTTGTATCACATCCGGTGTCCTCTCAATCCTTGCGTCAAACCTCTCCCCTAAACCTTTCTCTCCTCCCTGAGTTCCCACAGCCAGACTCATCTTGCCTCCTGTCCCCGAGTCCCCTGTCCGTCTGTGCTGCTGGGTCCACCGTCCCCCACGACCCCATGTCCAGAGCTGGGTTGCTGTCTCACATCTGGGTCACCTCCTTTCCCATTCTCTCTGTCCTGTGCTTATGCCGCTAAAAAACCTTTACTGTTATTTTTGAAGGATTAGGTTAGGAGAAGAGAGGTAACTACCAATGCTCATCCAGAATGCTTTGCAAAATTATCTGTTTTTAAGACACTCATTTCTGGTACATTTTCTTCAAAATATATATGGTTGTTTGTAATTATAGGCCCTTATGGTTTCATTGATTGTTTCTTTTTATAGGACTTTAAAATGATAAATAAAGAATTAACATCAGCCAAATTTGTGGAGGTCATAGCGGAGGACAACCCTTTCACGTACGACGGAATTGACAGCAACTTTGAACTTGAGGTCTGTAGAGAGGTGGCACAAGTGGTGTAGATCCAATTCAGGCTGTTTGTTTTGCTTGGATATCAAGAACCAAGATTTGATTGAAAAGAATTCTAACCCAAATACATAAAACTATATATGTGTATATATGTATGTGTGTGTGTATCCTTGATTATAATAGAAAACTAGAGGTGATGAACAAAGTTAAAAGAATATAAAGCTACCATACTACTTCACGGATAATTTACTTAGCAGTTTACTACATATACACGTTCTGTGGTATATGTGTCATATACAGAGACGCTGACTGACCTCCTCCAATGAATTAGGTATAAGTGTCTTTAATTGTCAGCACTTCTTGCAGCAAGCACATGTCTCATTTTACCAGCTAGACCCGTCTTTGGGCGGGTCTCAGCAAACAGACCAGGGACCCTGGTGCTGTGGGGATGCTGAGTGGACCCCTGGAAGAACCAAGTTTTGGATCTTCCCTGGAAGCCACATTTTTTTTTTTTTCCTAAACATATCTTTATTGATTTCAGAGAGAGGGAAAGAGAGAGCTAGAAACATCACTGATGAGAGTCATTGATCGGCTGCCTCCTGCATGCCCCTGGCTGGGGATCGAGCCTGCAACCTGGGCATGTGCCCTGACTAGGAATCGATCTGAGATCTCCTGGATCCTAGGTCGATGCTCAACCGCTGAGCCATGCCCGGCGGGTGAAGCCACATTCTTGATCCTGGAAGCAGGCAGAGGACGGCCTGGAGCCTCTGGTCAAATTAGGGGGCCTGTTCCAGCTCAGACTCAAAGGGCCCTGGGCTCAGGACCGACCATCAAAGTCCCAGCCAGCCCCACGTGTTGGGGCCGAGAGCGGGACATGGGGAGACACAGCTACCAAGGGAGTAACAGTTGCATTGACACTCGGTTTCCAGGTGCCACTGTTCTAGTTGCTCAAGAAAAAAGGAAACACTTGAGAATGATTGTCCTTGACTAGCTAATACAGAATGTTTCCATCAAAGCAGAAAAATGACTTACAGATGTAATGATGGAACATGTATCATAATAGGTCTTATTTATTTACTTTTAATTAATTAAATTTTTAAATGTCTATTGATTTCAGAGAGAGGAAGGGAGAGGAGGGGAGAGATAGAAACACCAATGATGAGAGAGTCATCAATTAGCTGCCTCCTGCACGACCCCTGCTGGGGATCGAGCCCAAAACTCAGGCACGTCCCCTGAACAGGAATCGACCCCTGCTGGGGATCGAGCCCAAAACTCAGGCACGTCCCCTGAACAGGAATCGAACCCCAGTCTCCTGGATCCTAGGTCGATGCTCAACCGCTGAGCCACGCCAGCTGGGCCATAATAGGTCTTTTAATGCTGTAGGTTTGATTGTAGCCTGGTGGACAGCCATGAACCTCAGGCGATGAGCAGGTGTTCTCTGGAGAAGACACACACCGAGACGAAGTGCTGGCCAACCTCGAGGTGCGTGAGGATGGATGAGACTCTGTGTTTTCTTCTTTCAGCTTGTTTTCCTGGAATTCTTCGAAGCTCTCTTAAGTTTCGCAGCCATCGCTGTTACCAACCAAATAACTAAATCCCATGGAAGTTTCCAAAACTATGACTTCAGTAAAAACAAACTGGGAACCACTTATATGACAGCAAATAAGGTAACAATTAACATCTTAGAAGTTAGAGCAAGGGATGGTTTCATTCTGGAATGGCTAAACCACCCTCAGATCTATCTCGGGCTTTTGTGACCCTTCAGGAAATAACCTACGACTTCTTTTCACATTTTGTTTTTCTTTTCTAAGTTAGAGAAAGTGTATTTCCTGGTCACACCCCAGGGAGCAGACTCCTGGCTATAATAGCAGATATCGTAATGCAGGTCAGAGCCCCTGCAGACACGCAGGGTGGCCATGAGTCTTAGGGACTGCAAGATGTTTTGTTATGAAATGTTTGGTTATGTGACCTAGCGAGTGCAAGGGTGGGAAGCCTGATGCAGGTGCTAAGGGACAGCGCCTGGGCATGCACGAGATGCCAGATGGGTCCGAGCATGGGGCCTGCTCGCAGGGCTGGACACAGCCTCACTGCCAGGCCTTGGTGGAGTGGGACAGTGTCAGTAACTTACTGAAGGGCCCAGTGCTGGGAAAACTGAGACCCGCCAGCGGTGGGTGGGCGTCTCGGGGGGGCTGGAAAGGCTTCTGACTTTTGAGAGGTTCACTTGGAGCCACTAGGGCGTCTTGGGGGCTAGAGGACCCAACAGCTGTGAAACTCTTCAGAGCTGCTCCCCCAGTGGCTTTCTCACTGCTGTCTAAGAGACTTGTACCATGAAGCCCACGGCTCCTTGCACGCCCAGAGCTTCCCGTTCAAATCCAGCATCTCACGGCTCACGCCTGCGGCGAGATACACCTCCTCCAGGCTGAAGATGACTGATGGGTACTGCAGGTCACCTGGAGACCTGGCCACTGGCTGCAGTCTGGCTCTGGGCTCTGCTTTGAGAGGATATGCTTTTATGGGGGGCATCGCCGTGGACTCTAGGAACCGAGTGTGAACACTGGTCTGGGGATCATCCTCAGACACCATCTGACCAGCTTCACTCTGGCTGTCAGTGTGGCATTTCCAATGTCCACCAACAGAAACAAAATCATATTATATTCATACCCTGGAGTATGAGTCAGCAGTGAGATAGCTCATGATACATGAACAACACATGTGAATCAGAATAACTATGCTGGGTGAACAAAGCCAGACAAAAGGGCACATATTGCTGTGATTATATAAAATTCTAGAATGTGCCCAGTAACCTGCAACGACAGGAAGCAGATCTATGGTTGCTGAGAATGGGGAAAGGGGGCTCCCGAGGGGCACAGGAACCTTTTGGGGGCAATGGACATGTTCACTGTTCTGACTGAGGTGGGGATTTCACAGGTATGGACATGCTGACATTCATCAAGTAGTGCCCTTTATAAGTAGCTTATTGTAAATTATATCTTGTTGAAGTCATGTGTGTACGTGTCTTTCTCCCTGGAAACCAGAAGTTCTCACGGTTGTCCTTGCTCTGACCTCCAGAACAGAAGTCTGAGTACAATGACCAGCCAGGAGTCCACCACGCACATGGGCAGCACCAGGTCGTCCCCAAGCAAGCTGTCGCTCTTGCTTGATAGCAGCAAGATCAAGACCCCAGAGGTTTGTGTTTCCAACGCACCATGTAAGAACCGTGAATGGTTGTCACTCCAAGCACTGTTGCACACCTACTCTGTGACGAGCACTTGAACTCGAAGTAGGGTCCTAGCAGTGAACTCGAAGCCCATCCTCCTGTGGCCTGTGCCTTCTAGTGAGGAGAGGGGGTTGGTGCCAGGTGAGCACAGGAACGGCTCACACCTACGGGGGGTTCTCCAGGTGCCACACTTACCGGGCATCAGCTCCTGCAGTGCTCTGAGCAACCATCAGGTCCTGTCTTTATCTGCAGGAAGGAACTGAGGCACAGAAAAGCTCCTGACTTGCACAGCCACAGACCTAGTAAGGAGTGGAGCAGGGAGGTCATGCGCAGCAGTCTGACTCCAGACTGGCCCCTGTTAATCATGGTGCTGTGTTTACACGAGGGACCAGAGGTGGCAGGAGGAAAAGGCAGGCAGGCCGTGGATTTGAGTGATGGTGGGGTGGTGAGGAAGGCCTCTGATGGAGAGACATTCGAGCATACCTGAAGAAAGTGAGGTGCAACCGTGCACTCACCTGGGGAAGACTGTTTTGTGCAGAGGCCTGAGGTGGGAGCAGGCTTGGGTTGTGGGCAGAGCAGTGGAGCAGTGAGTGTAGCCACACCGCCAAGTGGCTCAGGACAGGAAGGTGCACGCGGGAGGCGGCGGCCAGCCCAGGGGCGCGTCCGGCCATGGAGAGGGAGATGGGAGCCCAGAGAAGAGGGGTCAGCAGGCTCACTGTGGATTCACTGCTGACCAACCAGTCAGGAAGCTCCCAGAATGACCTGAAGGTACTTTCAAGGCTGTGGAGGGTGAGGGGGAAAGAGAAGGCAAAGATGATGGCAAGATTTTTGGCCAGAATGATTGGAAGAAGTTACCATTCACCACGAAGGGGGAGGCTGGGGCCGGGGGAGATGAGATCGGGGGCAAAATGCAGGGTCTGGTTTTGGTCATACTCGGACACGTCATCCCAGTGGTAAGCAAGTAGCACAGCTGGATACACAAGCGCAGGGTTCTAGGGCGAGATCTAGCTGGAGGCAGAAAAGTGGATGCAAACAGCATCTGTGTGGTATTAAAATATGAATGTAAGTAGCATATCGCTGTGTAATAAATACTTTCTCAAATCTTTGGTTTCTTCGGGGGAGCCCTGCAGTCGATACAATAGCTGGTAATCAGCTTAAAGAGAATGGCCTCATTAGCAATCTTCTAATTATTTATAATGTAGAGAATTAGTTTTAGTCCATAATGATACAGAAATAATATTTTGCTTTACCATTTTTTTTTTTTTACATAAAAGCCCAAGTTAAGGAAGTCGCTAAGTGATGACAGAATTTCCAAAATGAACTTTAAGACTCTAGGAAAAGGGCTCACCTTCTTATTACCCCAAACTGGTGAGTATTTTAATTATAGAACTTTAATTTTGGCAAATTGTTGCTTATAAATGATAAAATGTACAACCATCTTTAAGTGTGTGTGTGTGTGTGTGTGTGTATGAAATGAGGCTCGGACTGCTGCTTCTAGTTCTGTTTCCTGCTTGCAAGGCATGATCTTACTGAGTTTTGGGTTGTTTTTTTTGGTATTTTTTTTCAGTTTTATAATTGACTTAGAGTGCTGTAAGTTTGAGGTGTACAACGTAATGATTTAACATGCATATATCATGAAATGATTACCACAGTGTTTAATTAACACCTTGCTTACTGGCCATTTCAAGGGAGAACTTGCCCGTATGGCCGGCTACTTTGATCAGTAGGTGTTTAAAATTATTTAAATTAATGTAAGTGCAGACATGAGTTATCCTGTGACCGGTCAGCAAAGTGATATAATATCCACCATCTCATAGATACCAAAAAATAATTTTTTTTCTTGTGATGAGAGCTCTTAGGATTTATTAACTCTCACATACACCACACAGCACTTAACTATAGTCATCATGTTATACATGACATCCCTGGTGCTTATTTATCTTATAAGTGGAAGTTTATACTTTTTGACCACCTATCTCCCATTCTCCCTTCCCTTATCCTTCTGGTAACCACAAATCTGCTTTTTTTCTGTGAGTTTTTAAGATTCTACATATGACTGAGGTCCTACAGTGCTTGCTTGCGTCTGACTTATATAAAAAAGTGTAATACCCGCATCCATGTTGTTGCAAATAGCAGGATTTCCTTCTTTTGGGGGCTGAGTAGTGTCCCACTGTATAAATGTTCCATAGCTTCCTTACCCGCTCACCTGTTGATGGACACTTAGATTGTTTCCATGTCTTGGCTACTGTGAATGCTGATGCTATGAATACAGGGAGCAGGTATTTCTTCGACATTGTGTTTCCATTTTCCTTGGATACATTCCCAGAAGTGGAATTGTTGGATCAAAAGGTAGTTCTACTTTTAACATTTTGAGGAACTGCCATACTGCCTTCCATAGCGGCTGCACCAATTTACATTCCCACGGTATGCAAGGGTTCCCTTTTCTCCACACCCTCACTAACCTGTTATCTCTTGGCGTTTTGGCCATACTAACAGGCATGAGGTGATATCTCACTGTGGTTTTGTTTTGCATTTCCCTGATGATTAGTGATATGTAACAAGCTTTTTCTGTATGTCTTCTTTGGAAAAATGTCTATGTGGATCCTCTGCCCATTTTTAATTTTTTTAAAAAATATATCTTTATTGATTTCAGAGAGAGGAAAGGAGAGGGAGAGAGAGACAGACAGAAACATCAATGATGAGAGAGTCATTGGGGATCGAGCCTGCAACCCAGGCATGTGCCCTGACCGGGAATTGAACCTCAATCACCTGGATCCTAGGTCGACGCTCAACCACTGAGCCACGCCTGGCCAAGCTGCCCATTTTAAAATTAAATTGTTTGGCCCTAGCTGGTTTGGCTTAGTGGTTAGAGAGCCCACAGACTGAAGGGTCTTGGGTTTGATTCTGGTAAAAGGCACCACAAAAAAAAAAAGATCGGGACAGACCACCCACTGCTGTGAGACCTGCAGTGTACCAGAATGTAGAAAGGATGTACTAGAAAGTAGAACGAAGTCGGAGGGAAGCAGAGGGCTCTCTTTCCGAGCTGAGAACATGAGAACTCAGAATTCCCAGCAGGAACTCATGGGAAAGCCCAGACGGCCCATCCGAGAAGAGCACCTGAGGCAGGGACTGTGTACACGCCTCCTGACTAATGAGAACAAAGGACCAGAGGAAGGTCTGAATGAGCAGGGCAGCAGGGCCCCGTCCAGGAGAAAGTGCTGGGAGCGGGATTCCACGGAAGGGTGAGACAATAGGGGCCAACTTCCCAAGGTGAGCAAACGAGGAGCTTTCGGGCATGAAGGCCCGAGGGGAGCTCATGACCTCCAGGAATATTATTCTCACGAGTCCTTCCCCAGGTGCCTACCCAGGAGGGACAAGCAGACAACAGAACCACGTGAGCAGAACCCACGCGGCAGGAGCGCTGTGCCAGCATGAGGGGGCTCCACCTCACCTCACAGTCTCCCCTGCCTCCCCAGGAGAGCAACATCCACTGTCACCTGCCCCTCACCCGTAGTTTTTTTTTGCAGGTGTCACTGCAGAGACTTACTGTGCCTCCCTCCTCGCCCTCCTCCCAGAGTCTCAGTTATGATCAGATGACTGTAACAAGGAAGAGGAGCCCCTGGTGTGCTTAGCGGGGTTCAGGCCCTGGGACACAGCAGTGATGGCCCTCATCCTGCTGCCCACAGTGGGGCAGCCCAAGCTGTGTCCAGTGTCCAGAAATAAATGCTGTCTTGAGAGATGCAGATCTACTGACAACACAGAACTGCCCGCAGCATCATCTTCCCAGAATCGACTATTTTAAACACATTGCACAGTGGGCGTCTGCTGGCCTCAGTGGACCAGAAGCAGCTCCAAACCGTCAGGAATGTTACTTACCTTCCTATCCAATCAGAGTTTAAAATCCTATTATCATTTTCTTAATGAAACTGCCTTTAAAGACAATGAACACAAATGCTAAGAGGTTTTTCCTTTCCTGAAACATGGAAAATGTTGTAAATTTTCTAAAACAAAAAAACCTTAAAGCTACTTAGAAAAAAAATACAGGTGCCAGGAGGCTGGAAGGAAATGCTGTCATAGCTACGGCCTAGTGGCACCTGCCACGTCCAGGTGGTCTGTGCAGCGTCCTGCAGCTCCTTCAACCCTTGAGGCCTGAGGAGCACAGCACCCTCTACCCCCATTTACCCCACCACAGGAAGCGGCAGGATATGATCGCAGGCTCCAAGGCCCCCACACAGCTGTACAGATGTTCATTGAAATTAAACTTTCTTCCAGAGAAAAAAGAAAAACCCAAGGATGATCCGAAAGACAATCTCAACGTGTGGATCGGCTGTGTGTGCTTCTTTTTTGTGAACACACTCTTCCAGGCCCACAGACATGAAGAAACTCTCAAGGAAAAAGTAAAGGAAAACCGGTTGCGTCACGCGGCCATGGCCAAGCAGAGGAAAATTGAAAACGAGGAGCTAGAAGCCAGGTAACGGGGGCCCCACAGCCCTTCCCTCCCGAATGGGGCTGCCAGGAGCTTTGGGAGTGCTTTTGTTGAAAGCACATGACTTCCCAAGGGTGGCATGTCCTCGTAGGGCACGGGAACCCGTGGCTCCCTGGAGGGGTCCTGCCTGTGGGCCCATTTTCCCGTTGTCTGTGGTGGTGACGTCTGTGTCCTGAGGCTCCCACGTAGAGGTGATGTGATGGAGTTGCCGAGTCAGACGACAGATCTGACTGCCTGGGTTCAAATCTCAGCCCCGCCATTTAGCACTCAGGTGGCCTTGGGCAAGGCCTGCCATTGCGTGCTCGGTTTCCCATCTGTGAGCTAATGCTTATAAAGGATCTAAAACAACGACCAGCACATGGCGAGTGCCCAGTGAGGGCCGCGCACTTACCTTCCTGGAACCACCCTCTGGGCTCAGCTCTGCGCAGACGTGTTGGGCCAGAGCACAGGTGTGAAGTGCCTCTCGAGCCTGCCGGTCTGTTGAGGCATTAAATTGGCCTTAAGGAAAAAGACTAGGGAGTAGTTTCAAGGCTGCTTACCAGCTGCTAGCCGCTGAGGAAAAGTAGTTCCCAAGTCACGGTAGATGTTGTCTAGAGATGGAATCTATTTCAGCAAAGGGATCATAACTTGGTTTTTGTCAACCAAACTGTAAGTTGGAATCCAGATATGGACTTCACACCACAGATAGCACAGCATACACACCAGTTTTGAAATGATGAAGAAAGTAATACCTCCTCCTTCTGTTTGCCTCTGGTGTTAGGCTGACTAGCCTGAGAGAGGAAGAGACCAGAAGACAAGACCACGAGGTCGACATCACTGTGATCAAGGAACCGGTGGACGTTGCATCCCTGCATTTTACAGCGAGCCTCCCTAGAGAGGACTCGGTGTCGGTCCAATCCAAATCCATCATAAGTAGGAAAAAGAAAAAATAGAGGTTACTGGGTTTGTAAATGAGCCCGGGAACCATAGATGTAAAAGGAGTTTAGAACCAAAGCACTGTAACGAATTTCCTGACCAATAAAATGGTGTGTTCCTTCCTTGATACCTCTCCCTGGGCCCACGGTCAGGCTTTTTCTAAGACTGGGTCACTGAAATGCCTGCGTTATGGAAACTGAGCTGAAGGAAAATACATGTGTATGGGTACTAAATGAGTGTATTCAATGTGATGGGTGGCTACCTTTAGAATCTGATAAAACCGATCAGTTATCAGTGGGGAGTAGATGAAGTTACTGGAACATTTCTCCTTGCCCCTCTCCCAAACAGCTCCTCTACCCCTTGTAACTGCCCTGCGTCCATATCCTACCTGTCCTTCCCATGCCGCCTCTTACACGGCTCCTTCCCACAAGCCATGGCCAAACGACAGGGTCAGGAGTGGGTGTGCGGTGGGCGGTTAAGTGAATGCTTTAAGTCTCTGTTAGAAAATGTTAGAGCTAATGATTTGCTTTACAATTTAAGACCCACCACCCAAAGCATAAACATACAATCTCTAGCTTCCAAACTGGCAGAAGGAAGGAAACCGTCATCCAACATAAATCTGGGAAAAGGGAAAACAAAGAAAAAAGATGGAAACAGAAAACAGAAGATGGTGGGGAGAAGTGCCAGGACACCAGAAATCACAACTCACTTCAGTGTTACTCTTTACAAGGGAAACATCTTCAACAAAACCGTAAAGAAAGGATGGAAAGAAAAGGAAAGAATGCACCAGGAAAATCTAATCGAGACCATCAGAACAGCAAACAGTATCAAAGGCCGACAGAACAGAATTTAAGGCAAATATCTGCATAATACGGATAAAAAGAAAAATAACAAAAAAAGACCAACAACCGAAAAAGATGCAGTGCTCCTGTGCATCTCCCTCACTAGCCTTGAAAAGCCAACAATCACAGGGAAGAAACTGGGGCCCTGATGGAAGAAACAGACCAGGAGGACCAACATTTAGTGAGGATACAGACAGTTAAAACAACTAAACTAAAACCTTTGAACTAAGAGTTAGAAACCAAGACGCAACAGAGAATAAGGACTGGCTACGTTTTTGGTTAAGTGCAACAGTTTCAACTGATCTGTCAGAGAACAGATCTCTGTGCACTGCAGTTAAAAAGTCAGCGACGAACACACACTAAATCAAGCCTCAGATCTGGAAGCTAAACCATATAATCTCAGGTAACTCCTGGGTTGAGAGGAAATCGTAGTGGAAACTGAATTATGTGAGACAATAAAAACACTACAAGTTGATGAGAAGTTCCCCGCCCTTTCCGTGACTCTCAGGCTCATGCAGGTCAGGCAACAGGGACCTGGAAAGCCCCTGCTAGGGCCGTGGTAGTGCCAGTGTTTCTAGAGCCTGGCTAGTTTTCACCCCACTCCAGGATGTCAAGACCACTGAAGGTCAGGTTCTGTTAATAAAATTCAGCCAGCTCCGTTTAGCCGTGAAGCTGCTTGTAGAGGGTGTACCTGGCAGTTCTACACGGCAAATAACAATGCTTTATGTTTAGACCACAATGGGGCACTTTTGCCTTCTCAGTATTATATGAGGTCAAAAAACCACATCCGTACCCAAGGTAAAAGCCAAGTCTAGCAATTACTTTGGGAAAATGCCTTAGCTCACCAGGGCAGTTCTAATGACCAGGGAAGGGACCCCAACTCTACGAAGTATCCCCCAGGACAAGCCAGGGACCCCATGGCCAGTGTGGTCCACACACAGGCAACAGGAGAAAGACTCAATGCAAAACCAGAATTTTAAAAACTTTAACAATTTATTAGTCTTATTTTCCAGTAAAATATTCACATAACATCAAAAGAATGGAATGAGAGATGTTGCTGAGTAATTCCACATAAATATTTAAAATCTAAAAAGTTCAGGGGATCATCAGACTGAGTAGAAATTTGATCCCTCTAAGCAAGTATTGCTTTACTATTGTCGCGGATGCAGTCAACGACATGACTGGTAACCTGCAGCGGGAAACCGAACTTGCTGGGCTGTTTAAAAGAGGCTTCCATGAGCTGTGACCGGTCAATCCAAGAAGAAGATGTTATTGAACTGTGTGGCACACAGCTTCTTCACCTCTTCTGCAGACAGACAGAAAACAGTGAGTGAGGAGGACACTTTCGCTTAAAGGTCATACGACATATGCAGATGTCCCCCCAAAATGGATACACACTTAGCCGATTCTATTACATTTTGAAAATGAAATGTATTTTAATAAACACTGTCTTTATAATTATTCAGAATGTGTGTCCATTTTTGGGGATACCCTGCATTGGTACCTTAAATTCCCCTGGAATAAAGTCGGGGATAAGTAAACATCTGCATTAATTTTGGCCTCATTTCTAAGAAGCCGAGGTAAGAAACAATATACCCAGAAAAGAGAAAGCCGAACGTGCCCACGAGGCTTCAGTGCATTTAACAGGGACACACTGCTTCTCTGGGCCTGAAAAAGCTCAAACAGAGCACCCAGAGTACCTAAGACACCCAGGGGTGAGGATTGGGAGCACAACTTCTAAAACCTTGAGAACTTGGATGCAGAGCACGAAACTCCAGCTGCAGCCTTGGCCTGTGGCGCAGGTGCTCCACAGAGGCACCGCTCTCTTGACTTGTCTCTGTTCCCACTGTACTGAGCCGGTCCTCACAGAGGTTTCTAATGCACACAGCTATGAATATGTTAATAAAAGAAAATTTAACATGCCTTAGGAGCTATGTGTAGAAAAACCTCACACCGAACTCTGCTTACAGGTGGCACTGGGGTGCATCCCCCAGCTGCCCACTCCGTGCTCTGGTCTCCGCAGAGCTGCAAAGGAGCCGGGTCCAGGGAAGGTGACACCACCCGTTGCTCCAGGGCAACAAAGCTGCCAGGACCAGTCAGAGCAATTTTCAGATCTCGCCGTACAGAGGGCAGACCACCTGCTCTGGCTGGAAGGCGGGGAAATGCCCCCATCCTTACTGTTTCTGCACAGAGGTGGCTGCCAGCCGCTACATGAGCCTGGCTGCTCTGCATCGAAGTGTGTACTCTCATCACAGGAAGTGAAAATGACAGGCTCATACGCAGTGTGTAAAGCCACGGGATTTCCTTCCTTTAGTGTTATAAAAATAACTTTTTTTTGGCCACTGTCCAGTTTCCTGTGACACAGGGAAGCTTTTCATGTACTTTTCTGAGGAACTGAGCTATAGACAGACTGGATCGAATGGTTTCCTTCAGCGACAGAGGCTCTCTCTTGTGATGGTCTACTAAGTATGTGTCAGCGCAGCGAAAAGGCAGTAGTTTATCAGAAGCATTAAAATTCTGCTCAGATACCAAACCCTGTTTACCGTTCACTTCAATCAGGTTTGCGTTTTTCTGGTTCAAAATCACATAGAGCTCCCGCTGGTCAGACTTCTTCCCGACGACCCAGTAGTCGCTCACAGCCTTCACCACGATCTCCTCGTCGTCCTCTGCCCTGCAAGACAAGAGCCCAGGGCGCAGCGCCTGTGACGGCCGGAGGGACACGCCACCTGCAGTCAGGAACCCGAGCGCCCTATGCGGGGGCCTAATAATGGGGCTGGAGGTGGAGCCCAGAATGGTGGCCGAGCCTCCGGGGGCCGTGGGCCACTGGGTCGTGGAGACGATCCCCATACTGCCTCTGCTGATTGGAAAGGGGACCCCTCACTTGAGAGGTGGCTGGAATTACCTTGTGAAGTCGCTGTTGATGTCACCCAGGATCTTCATTAGATCCGGGTGAACAGATGTCAGTGACACACTGGGCGTTTTCCTCATGTGAATCGTACTTTTCTCTGCTAAGTTCATGTGGTTGAAGTAGATAAACTTGAACTGGGGCTCCTTTTCAGACCTGTGGAGACACAGCAGTAAGATGGAAACGTCCTGAGAGGATTAGAACTTCAAACCCGTGTGGCTGAGCCCTGCGTTTTCGGTGGCTGCGCCTTCAAGCAGAGAATCTCAGTGAAGAGGTGACAGGCTCCTCACCCTCACTTGTCAGCAACTTACTTGATATTCGAGGTATTCACTACGATGGGATTTTCTAGAGGGCTGACGTGTTTTTTATTTTTAATTTTATTATTTTAAAAATATATCTTCATTGATTTCAGAGATTGGAGGGGAGGGGAGAGACAGAAACATCAATGATGAGAGAGTCATTGGCCGGCTGCCTCCTGCACGCCCCTGACTGGGGATCGAGCCCACAACCTGGGCATGTGCCCTGACCAGGATCGAACTATCTCCTGGTTCATAGGTCAATGCTCCATTGTGGAGCCACACCAGCCAGGCAAGTGTTTTTCAAAAAACAAAAATATTTAAACCATTTTACGATTTTCTCAATAAAAGTATAATGTCTTATAAATGGCAACCACTTGGTTATTCCCTGAAATTTTTGTAAAAAGTAAAAACTAGCCTGGCCGGGTGTGGCTCAGCGGTTGAGCGCTGACCTAGGATCCAGGTGATCGGGGTTTAATACCCAGTCAGGCCACATGCCCGGGTTGTGGGCTTGATCCTCAGTCAGGGGCATGCAGTAGGCAGCTGATCAATGATTCTCTCATCATTGATGTTTCTATCTCTCCCCTTTCCTCTCTCTGAAATCAATAAAGATATATTAAAAAAAAAAAAAAAAGTGCAAGCTAAATCAATACAGGCCATTTATCTTTGGCCCCATTTTTCTAAATGAAGTTTTACTGGAACATGACCACACCCAGTGTTTACACACTGTCTACTGCTGCTTTCACACAAACAACTAGTACCTGCAACATATGCAGTCCACGAAGTCTGAAGTACTTACCCCTCGGTCCTTTGCAGAAGTCTGCTGGCCCATTTTAGGGGAGCAACACTCATTTGTCCCACAGGACTGGGGAATACACGTGCTCCGCGTGTTTAATCTGCCACAGACTCGAAGCTAACTACTAAGTAACAGAACCTCACTGCCCTAAGCGGAGATCCCTCTAACAGGCATCCACCTCCTGCTTTGAAGGATGACCAGCGTGTCCATTGGACACAGCTCCTATGGTTGTAAAGGGTGGAGCAACACTGCCACCTGCCTCCGGGGTCCGAGTCTGCGGCTTTTCCG